AGGCAAGGGGATGCCGCGGCCGCTGTCTTGCTCCTGGCCCTCGGAGCTCTTCCTCTTCACCATGATGGTGGCTCCCGGGAGTCCTACTGCAGGACCCAGCGCCGGCTCCTCGCTAGCCGCCGCCGCCTCCGCCGCCTCCTCCCGCTGCTCTCCCCAACTCTCATCCCCTCCTTCCCCGAGGCAGAGCAGGCTCTCTCCGCCCTGATCCCCCGTCCCTCTCCCCTTCCCCCGCCCCTCCCCGTGCGTGGAACATGGCTGCGGGAGGAGGGGAGGGCTGGAGGAGCAGCGGAGCGAGGAGGGGGGCGCTCGGAGGAGCTGTCCGCCTCGCCGCCCCCGTGCCCGCTCCTTGCTTTCAGCACCTCCCACTGTGGACAGCGGCCCGCGCCGGACGGACCGGCGGGAAACAAGACCAGGGGTCAGGTTGAGAAGCGGCGGGATGGCCAAAGGGGTCCACCCTCTGCATCGCACGCAGGTCCCCTGTTTGGCCTCTTTAGCCCCCAGGATTCGGCTTCCTCCCCTCGGACCTGCACCCCAGGAGTGTCCCTAGTCCTGCTTCCCAACCTCAGCATCTGAAGAACTGTCACGGTCTGGGGAGGAGGAGCTTTGGGGAACCGCAGAGCAGTCACTAACCCTGGCATCATTCGCACCTCTAGCAAGGAGGTCAGGAGTCCACCCTCGGGGCTTAGCAGAAGGAGCACATGAAAATTGTTAGAAGTGTAAACCAGGAAGGAAGCTGGCTTGGTGAGACAGAGAAAGCCTGAAAGTTCTCTGATGTACAAATTTATTTTAAAATGGTAACCATAAGAAAGTAACCGTGCATGTTTTGCAAAAGCAGAAATATTCCCAAACTACCCAGTTGTGAGTATCAGTTAATTAGAACTTGAGAAAGAACATTTGAATGATGCTGTTAGGATATGCAGTTTATTATAGTCCATTAGTGCCCTTGGGTGATCCTGCTCATCGCATTGATACTTGCCATCTTATTTCAGTTGTAGTCAAAGCCCATGCTATAGTTTATAAGTGGATTATTGTTAGATGTTTTATCTGGCAGTGAAACAAGTAGGGGTGGGATTAAGTGAAGCAGTCTGAGTAAAAACCAATTGCTGTGGATCCAAATACTTGCAAAACAAACATAGTCATATGCCTTTTTGAACAAAGGTATTGGTGTGACCCATGCAATGGAGAATTAGACCCTGATCTCAACAAACAGAAATATTTATGTATAATTAACT